CCCTCCCTCCCTCCCTCCCTCCCTCCTTCCCTTCCTTCCTTTCTTCCTTCCTTTCTTCCTTCTTTTGTTTCTCTCTGGTTTTGTTTTGTTTTTAATCAAGGTCACACTGTAGCTCTTGCCTGGAACTAGCTCTGTAGACCAGTGTGGCCTTGAACTGAGTGATCCCCCTGCCTCTGTCTCCTGAGTGCATAGATTAAAGATGCCCAGCACTTTGCCCAGCCCTATCCTTTCTCTTAAAGGCTTCATTTGAGGGCATATTTTTTGTTCATTTCCTTTGCTGTTGTTTATTTTTCAAAATGATTTATTATTTTGTTTTAATTGCAGATGTGTGTCAAACACCACAGCTCTTTTATATGAGTTTTAACACCTGAAGCTTGGGAAAAGTCGGATAAACTAGGAAAGAGGGTTTCAATGTCCCATTTCCTTCTGAATTGTGTCAGCTTTGCTGTTGTGGACTTTTGTTAGTGAGAGGTAGTGGTTTATTTGAAATGTCTTCTTTTTTCAGACATTACCAAATCCCTCTTGGTGACCGAGTTGGGCTCGTCCAGAAAGCCGGAGACCTTACGGATTATTCTCTCCAACATGGAGAAGCTGTGTTCCATCCCCATCCATGGGTAAGCCTTCTCGTTCCCACCCAGACTTCCAGAGCTCTTAACTTGAAAGGAATTAATTTTGATCTTTCCTGTGTGTGTGTGTTGGGGGGGAGGGGTATATGTGGTGGTGGTGGTGGTGGTGGTGTGTGTGTGTGTGTGTGTGTGTATGTGTGGTGGTGGGATGTGTGTGCGTGTGCGTGTGTGTGGAGGCTAGAGGTGACTGGAAATCTTGGTTTGAGATGAATTTTGCTTTGTTTTTGATTATTACAGCAGAGTTTTGCTGTGTATCTCAGGAGGGCCTCAGATTCACAGTACTGTTGCCTTGCCTTCCCTGTGCCTTAGTGTCCCCCTGCCTCAGACTCCTCAATGGAGGGCTTAGAGGTGTGTTCCACAATTCCTAACCTTAATGTCATTTTAAGTGTGTCTCTTGCATAAAACATTGAATACAGTATCAATTTATAAGTCAATTTATAAATATTTCTTAATAGACAAATTATTAATATATTGATACTGCTGTTCTGTATCACAGTACAGTAATCTTGTGCTGTGATTTCTGTCTGTATCATTTGTAGTTACTTTGTTTATTTCATAAGTTCTTTATTTTTAATTTTTGTGTTTATAAATGCTTATAATTTTGGCAGATTTATTTCACTAAATCTATAATGTTATATATATATATATATATATATTTCTTTTTCTTTTCTTTGTTTTGTGGAGGTAGGATGTCACTGTAGCATAGGCTGGCCTGGAGCTTGAGATTCTCCTGCCTTAGCCTGTTGAGTGCTAGTGCTACATATTTTACACCTGTAGCACTGCTCTCCAGTCTCAGAGCCCTTCAGTAATGACAGGACACTTGCGTAGATGCACCAGAAGTGAGAGCTGGGACTGATGGACCATGTTAGTACTAGCCTCTTTAGGATGCTGAGGCAGGAGGATTGCTTGATTCCAGAAGTTAGGGTTTAGTCTGGAAAACATGATAAAGACCCTAGCTGGAAAAGTTTTATTTGTTTGTTTTTGAAGCAAGTACATATCCAAGAGGTTTTAGGAAAAGCTAGCAATTTGATGTTCCTAAATTTAATGCAGGTATTGGTGACACAAGTAGCATTGCTGACCTTTGTTATGGTTGTTTCAATAAAAGTAATCCTTTAAGAAGCCACTGAAGCAAGGCATGATACCATGTACCTGTAACCTCGGCCTATACGAGGCAAGGCGTGGTAGAGCATACCTGTAACCTCGGCCTGTAGGAAGCTGAACAAGAGGATTGTAGAGAATAGTTCAAGGACAGCCTGACTACACAAGAAGAACCGTCTCAAATGAACACGAAGCCATGGGGAAGCCAGGCTCTGGAACACTTGTCTGTCATCCCAGTACTGAGCAAGCTGAGGCTGGAAAGGCTGGGGGTTTGGACAGCCTGGGTTACACAGTGAGAGCTCATAAATAACAATAGAATTTAATGATTTTCTCTTATTGCCAATTGTCGCTACCTTTTTTTCTCCTGCAAATAATCATCAGGGATAGAGTTTGATAATGTTCCAAGGATCATCTAATGTAGGCATGTGTCAGAGGTTCAGACACATGAAGTGGCTCCAGGAGATGAGCTGATGCCGATACAGCTACAGCCCTGGCTTCCAGATCATTCTCTTCCTTTAATATTTAACTTCCGTTTTAGGAGTTAAGATGTTCCAAGAATATTTGACTGTGGTACAAACTATGATTTGCGAATATACACAGTAATGAGTGAGGTGAATGAGAGGTTCTGTCACCTATCCGCTGAACATCCCAGAACCTCCCAGAACATGGAGCGCTGGAGGCCCAGGGAGTAATGTCCTTGAGGCAAGAACAAGGTGCTTCTTACAAGCTGTCGTTGCAGTTGGCTATTTAAAGTTTGAAATTTAACCATGGCCAGTAAAATTGCTATAAAACAGCTTCAAGCAGTTTATACTTTAGCCTTTTATTTTGGTATTAGCTGAAGGAAGAAATAGTGTTTTGTTTTGTTTTTTTACCCCAGTAGTTAGTTGAAAGAGGAAATGTTCCCAAGGCTAAGTGCTGTTGTACTCAGCTGGTGGTTTGAACTGTCACTGAGATTTCAGAATTGCTCATAGAGAACACCGTGAGACAGCAGGCACAAGACAAAGCCAGTAATGGTAAACCAGTTGCATAATTTGGAGAATGAATTCAGAGGTGTCCAATGTTCTGAGATTGAACCTTCTTGGTTCATACTTGAGAACTGCATACCCAAGTTACAAAATAATCACATGCAGTCTCATAATGTTTTTGTTGAGTCTATAGTTTTGTATAAATTCAAATAGGACAGTCCTAGTAAAGAACAGGTTTATAATAAACATGACACTTTTTACTAATATGTCATTTGTAAGCATTGTGGTTTACAGTAAGGCGCCCCTTCACTTTCTTCAACGTGAAAGTTTGAAGAAAGCTGGAGCCAGCCCAACCAGAGAACAGACCCAGATCTTTTGATGCAGTGCCAACTCTCTTTGCTCTCAGGGACACTTGGACTCCGGAAGGATCAGATGAAGATCTAGTTCAGAATCTGGGTCCCTGCTGTCATGGCTTGCTAGCAGAGTAGTGTTTTGTGTAATCCTTAGGGGTTTGTTTCTAGAAGAACAAGATTTTACTGACAGCAAACCCCTGCCTGAGAGAGAGCTCTGGATGTTCCGCAGAGGACAGCAGAAGTTTCCCTGTGGCGATGACTGAAGGATTCTGAGCGCAGAGCACAAGAATTTACTTGTGAGCAGTCTCAGTTCGTTCCTTCTAGAACTTGAGCTGTCAGTACCCCATCTTCTGTATCTCACATAAGAAACAGAGAGATAGACCTTCTTGGGTTTAGATTTCAGTTTGTTTCCCTTTCAGGCAGGATCTTACTGTGTAGCCCAGGATATTATCAGGTCTGTAGTTGTTGCCTGAGCCTGCTGAATTCTGGGATTCTAAGTATTACTGTCCTGCTCACTGCACCTTTCTTCATAAGCTAAAACTTGTCATGTGGAATTAGATGAACTGTTCTTGCTTAGTTCTTCATTACATTTGATATGAAACAAAAATATAAGTTGTAAAACACACTTCCAATCAAAGGTGTTGTATGTAGGGCTGGTGGGGGGGGGCGTGTGGTGAGTAAAGGAAATGCTGACATGACCTCTCTATTGTATAGTGAAGGTTTCTGTTGTTGATAAGAGAGAAAGAACAGCCAAGGGCATCTGGAGGAGTTCAGAACAGAGAGAAAAAGAAGTAGATTGAGTGTGGCCAGGGCTGGGAAACCAGGGTGAACAGTGAGATAGGAGACATGGAGAACAGACCTTAGCGGGAGCAGGAGGATAGCAGGGGGGGAGCCAGCAGTGAGAGCACAGAGTGAGAATACAAAGGAGGAGGGTGAGTAGTGAGGGGGTGGGGGGAGACTAGGAGTCTGGTGTACCACAGGTATTGGTCAATGGAGCCATACGTCTCTTCTGTCAGAGGTAAGGGAAATGACTCCTTTTGGCAGATGGGAACTAATTTTACAAGTTCCTGAGGAATGCTGGCTTTTGTCTAACCACCAGAATTCCTGTAGTCCAGGTTGAGCTGTTAACCATTTAAAATGGTGGCACTTGGAAGCTAGCCCTGCTACCCACGAGATGCCAGAGTGAGAGATGGCTCTGCCAATCCACCACGCTGTCTCCACAAGATTGGGCTGAGCCCAGACCATCCCTCCATCCATGTGGTACCCAACAGAAATGAGACTCTAACACTTAAAAATTAGCCAAATGCTTTTTAAGTTTGGTAATGCTCAAATTAACAAGATGCCCACACAATTAAAGGTGTTACCCAATTAACTAACCTAGATATAAGTTGTTACCCAGGACTGCGCTCGATCCATGCATGGTTCTCCATGGCTCCTACATCTTTGCTTCCCCAGTTCCTCCTCTTCCTTTTCCTCTTCCTCTCCTTACTTCTCCTCTTCCTCTTCTTACCCCTCCCACCTTAGCTCCTCACAACTTGTGTGGAAAATCTGCCACTACAAAGCTGGGCCTACGCTTAGTTTTGGCATCAGTGTGTTTGCCCATTTTGGGGGAAAGTGGGGTACCCTTTGAAGGTGACCAGTGTTTTGTCATTCCTTTTCTTTTTTAAAGTTGGCTTTGTGAAAGATGTTGTACAGTCTTTGTTTTTTAGATACAGGGAAAAAACATACAATTCATTAATTTCCTATACTTTTGAAAAATATATTTTGAGGGAATGGATCTCTGCCTTATTACCAGAGGTTTAAACATTTATTACTGAAGGAGTTTAAAGCAGATACAGCGATACCCACTATAGCTTCAGCATTAGAGGGGCTGAAATAGGAAGGCAGAAAGCTCCAGCCCAGTCTGAAGCGTTTAGTGAAACCTTGTTTCAGAAACAACAATAAAAAGATAAGTAAACAAATAAATACAAAATTTAAAGGAAATTTGAGTACAACATTTGAGAGTAACAGACATTATGTTTCCCTGCTCCTTGGCTCCTTTTTGGTGTAGTTGCTGCCATGTGTTTGATTTTGAGACAAGGTCTAATTCTGCCCAAGCTGGCCTCCAGCTGTTGGTCCTCTTAACTGGCCTTTCAAGTGTGGGGTTGCAAGGTGTGAGACACCACCCCAAGCCTCCCCCTTCTGCCTACACTCAATATTTGTTAACATAACCATATCCAACACGAGTGCCCATGGTTTCTCTGTATTTTGTCTTGAATGCATGAGCCTCCTGCTCTGGCCTCGCAAGTGCGAAGACTAGCATTTGTGCGGCTCTTCACGGCCCGATTGTCCTCGCTCAGCCACATCCTTACGGACGGCTTTAGAGTCTTTTAGTTTTGTTATGTGCTTGACATTTTTGAGCATTTTAAAGCTCCTATTACTTGTAGAAAACAATGACATTTTTAAAAATTAAAGACCATATGTTCATGCAGAGCCCAACTGGACTGTGTGGCTTCAAGCATGGGGCTTTCCAACCACTGAGCAGTAGTGACGTAGTGTTTTACACACCCTGGAGACTACTCACATAGTACTGTCTATGTAGAACAGAGACACTGAAGTTCTGGGGTCCAGGCACAAGAACCTACAAAAGCGTCATTCTTCTTCGTTTGTCTGGGTTTTTGTTGCTGTGGTTGTTGTTTGAGACAACAGTGATGCAGTGTACTCCAGGCTGGCCTTGAACCCACCATCATTGTGCTTCAGCGTCTCAGGTACTGTGATTGCAGGAGTATGCAACCACATTTGACTTGCTTTGGTGTGTTTTGTTTTATTTTCTCTTAAAGTCTTTATTGTCATGTTTACCTTATTAAATGATTGCTTTGTGGAAAATTCATGATTTACATAGTATGTAGTGATTAGATATTTTTAAAATGTATTCATATTTTATGTATATGAATGCTTGCTTGCACCACATAAGTACAGCGACTGCAGAAGCTTGGAGAGGGCTTCAGGTCCCCTGGGAGTGCATCGTGTGACCCATCATCCCATTGCAAGAGCAGCAACTGCCCTTAACCAGCCCTGATGATTAAACATTATATGCTTTATTTTAAAATTAGAGAACAGATTTATCCTCGGTTCTTCTCAAGATGAAGGCAAGCAGTCTCAGTTGGTGCTCAGTTGGAAATGAAACAACCTTATAGAGGGAGAAATCCTTGTTTTGAGAGTTCTTTTATCCTCCAATCTTGTTTATCGTGTTAGAATCCGGAGTGTGGGAACAGCTGCTGTTAATATGTGCCTTGTGGCGACTGGGGGAGCCGATGCCTATTATGAAATGGGGATCCACTGCTGGGACATGGCGGGAGCTGGCATCATCGTCACGGAAGCTGGCGGAGTGCTGCTGGATGTGACAGGTGAGGGCGTGGCGCCCCTAGTGCATGCCAGGCTTTCCTTGCTTTAAAAAATGGTTGTACATGTCCTAATAGAACAAGAAAGCTATACGAGTCTCTGTAAAATCAGATATTAGCAGACGGGAACAGTGGTGTAGCGAGTGGTAATAGATGGTGAGGAATGATTGCGACTCTTCTCTGTGGATAGCAAGAGCTCCCAAGAGCCCTGGAGAGGTCTGCGCCTCATCTGAGGCTTGGAATGTGAACTTTGACAGGACCATAGTGATAGTGAACAGTGGGCTCTGTCTTCCACCTAGTTTGCTCTGCCTGGGTCAGTTAAATATCAGAAGGTGGAATTGAGGAGAATAAGCCTGGATTCAAAGAGTTCACCAGTAACCTTGAGACATAGCATGCTGGAACAGGAAGTGGGAAGAAAACAATGTGACAGTGTGTGGGTGTGAGTGTGCCTGTCCTCAGACCTCACAC